AGATCTTAAAGGACCCGGAGTTACGGGAAAAACGGATAGTCGTGCGCCAGTTCCCCGTGGCTACCGGTGAATACCGGACCACATTCAAGGAACTACACAAAATGGGCATCAGGAACATCATCATAGACGTACCCAGGGAAAATATACACAAGGTGCTCAAACACGCCCAACAAGTAGACATGCTGTCCGACTATCATAACTACTTCTTCACGTCACTCGATGTCCATACCGTGGACTTAGAGGACTATCAATACGGCGGCACCAATATATCCGGCTTTAATCTGGTCGATGAGAATAGCAAGGAGTACCTGGAGGTGATCAGGGACTGGCAAAACTCGCCGCCCAGGTATCCCAATTGGAAGGGCGAGTCGTTGGAGCAGCTAGCTAAAGTAAACATTTATTTTTGTTGACTATATTTGGCACGTAATTAGCAAGCACTTTTTAATACTAATAAAATTTATTTTACTCATTCATTCACCACATCCTACTTAAGAGTTTGGTCCAGAATTTTACGGTAAATACTAATGATTACCAGTTTTGCCTCAAATGATAGACTCATTAATAAATTAATTTCCTAATTAAGACTGAAGTGGGACTGGTATACGACGCCGTACGGCTATTTGCCAAGGCATTGCACGACCTGGATCAGACTCAGTCGATTAGTATACGGCCGATATCGTGCGAAACGGAGGAGCCCTGGATCTTTGGCAACGCCGTTACCAATTACATGCGAATGGTATGACATACCCGGCCTAACCATTAATCGTGTGATTTGAGATCGCAATTCAATTATAGATACATTGAAAAAATCTTATTTCATAGAAAAAAAAGTAACAAAACTTTTTTAAAACAAACAAAAACTTTAATTATAGATAAATATCGATGGGATTACATATTAAAAAGTGTATTATGTAAGCAATAATCATAAGCTGTTTATTAACCTCTTTATTATGCGATACAATAGATTTCATTATAGTTTTAAGGTTAATAAATGCACCACGATTTTTGTTTCAATATAATCACTGCCAACACACACACACTTCATACCACAAATAGTCTAGATTTGCCAAATAAAACCCACAAAAACCTATTTTTATTACTTTTGATTCATTTGTTTAAGTTTTATAATCGCTTTACAAAACTATTTCTAAATATAAAGCGCTTTTGAAAATATTTGTATATATTTTTGAAAGCTTTTCATTTTGACTCTCATTTTAATTATTTGTTTGGGAAGTCTTTGGGAAATATCATAATATTATAGTTTTTGTTATTTCGCATATAAATCGTGATTTTCATTGTCTAGTCGTGCAATGAATGCTTAATACCATTGAATTCATAGCTATATTCATAGCTATCATAAATTAGACGTGGATGCTATTATATTTTTCAATACCAGTAGTGTTTCACAAATATTTATTAATAGGTTTCTAAAGAATTTGTTTTAGTTTTTCAATTAATAAAAAGGAGTCGAAAAACAGATTTTAAAAAACGATAAATAAATTTATTTTTATAATTTAATGTGCGACCATAAATTGTTTAAATAATTTAAATAAATAAAAATGTTAATTAAACTTCATTTTGTGTTAAAAGTAATTTATTGAAAACAAGTATTTTTGTTGTTTGAATGTACAATTATATATTCATGATCAATTTTAAATTAATTCAATGCTTAAAGTATTTTACAAGATTTCAAATTATTTTCGTACTTTTCCTAAAAGATATCAACATTTTTAGTATCAATTTCATCATCAAATTCATGTATTGATTGGTATTTAACGATAGAAAATTGTGTGAAAATTATTTCATATATTACAAGATTTCATGATTTTTTTGCTCAATACTAGTGAATAGATAATCTATTTGTAGCTAAACATAACAAACGCGTGTTATCATGCTCATTTCATACACTCTTTATGTTACAATCGATTCATTTGACTCACTATTAAAGTTATTGATTGAGTATTAATAACGATAATCATAACTAATAAAAACGTTTGATTGTAATATATATCATAACTTATGATTCATAAGCCATTTAATACCAATTAAGGTCGATAATAGGCTATTAGTAATAGGTAAACAAGTTCAATTTAATTATAATTAAATGCTCGCAATGTGTGTAGCAAATTGTATCTGAATAGTAAGTGTTTACTACTTAATTGAATGTCTATTGTATGAAAAAACTATTGCGAAAATGAATTGAGAAATGTATTCATCAAAAAAGTTTGTGAAACTTGAAAAACAAAACCATTTGAATAAATACTTCAATAAAATCTGATATTTGTTTTGTTCGTAGGGCTCGAGACTGTTATATAATGTCATAATCGTCGAGACAATGACTCCTTATTAATATACAATACATTATGAATATAATGAAAAACATGTATTTCCCTATACGTCGGACGCCTTATAGTTGGAGTAGTAGTCGGCTTCGTATATATTAGTCTTACTATCGTTACTGTATGTGAACTTCTGGGGCGTGTCATCCCTGTCCACATCGTATCTCACGAGATCCCTTTCCTTCTCCTCCTGTTGCTTGAAGTAAATCTGTTGCGACTTTGATAGTCAACTGTAGACGTCTTTATTCATGTCTTGGTAGCCGGTGAGCGGCATAAACGGCAGACCATTCCCCGGCTGAATCACGCCGTCCACATCGCTGACCTTCCGGATGGGCCGGGTGTTGCCATAGCAGCAAATAACATACTTGATCTCCCGGAGCAGTTCCACGCATATATGATCCTTAGGAGTACGGGTAGCACCAGAAAACATAAATATAAATATACTTTTTCTCACAGTTTATCTCAAAGTTTTTTTTCTCGCTATCCATTAGTTTTTACTTTCTTTTATATATACAGAAAGTATCCAAAAATAAAAACATTTCACAACAAAAAACACGAATAGTTTTCGCAGTCGCTGGAGAAGTCGTTAATTAATGAAAATGTTTTGCATAATTAATGAGTGGAAAAGTGGAAAGCCTAATGAAATATTTATGAGTTATAGTATATGGCTTAACTATTTCTCGCTGGCTAATTGTGTGAAATGTATATATTTTTTCTAAATAAACATTTTGTTGCATTGAAAAGTGAAAAAATAAAGTTTTACTTTATTTTGAACACTTAAGCGACTTAATGATTATAATGTATTATATAAACTGAGAAGTGATTTGTGAATAAAAATAACACAAAAAATTGTTACTTCTTTACGATTAAATAAAAAATATTCATTCAAATGCAAAATTATAGTTTCACCAAACACTCCATTACTGTATTATAATATATAACTAATCATTTGATAGATTTTTTATACATATTTCAAACACTGATACTAATCTCCGATAATAATAGGGTTTGGAAACATAATACTATACACAACACTAATGATGAACTCCTTATACATTACTTCATACCCTTTTCTCTACAGTTAACCCTACACTTCCCATTCCAGTTACCAAGCATAGTATCATATTATCATAAACATAGCAATTATACTAATATGCTAAACACGACTTACCCGCTCATTTCGGGGTATATTTTTCATTTTCCAAATGAATTCGCCGATACATATAAAAATGGCGATACAGGAGCCGGCAGCCAACACCACAAACACGCCGCCGACATTAGCCAGGCCCAGCTCGCTGGCACTACCCTGCACCTTTTGTGTGTCTTTACCGCTCTCGCACTTGCCTTTCCCCGACCACCAGCGCTCCTTAAGCATATGGAGCTTACCGTCCTCTTGAAGCTTAAGTATAGCGTCCGATATGATGGACCGGTAGGGCGAGTCAGGTGGGGTGGCTATGCCGTAGCCTTTGGAGTCGAGTAGGGCGCCCACCTGATAGAGCTCGCACTCCCGTTGCACGATGTAGTCAATGGACGTCGACTCCATGAGATACGCGTAATCGCCTGCAAAATGTATACATTTTTTTCATACAATTAAGTCATTATTTTTATGATATAAATCATTGATGACATAAAGGACGAGGGGAATGGTATACAAACCTTTCTTCACTCTATCCACTCCCTTGGTGTTGGACTCGACAAACACTGAGGGCCGGTAGGACTCCATAAACGACCACATCCTGGCGTACGTCGAGAAGTTGGAGTTGCGGAAGAAGGCCTCCGTTGAGCCCGATTTGACACATCCGTACGGAATCTTTGTCTGTTTGGACAGGTCTTCGGCCGACTCGATGGGGTTCACCATTCGCTCGACCGTCAGAAAAGCGGCCAAATTAGCGGTGTATGAGGAGACCAGGATCAGTATGAAGAACCACCAGCTGGCGGCCAACACCCGGGTGGACAGGGATCGCGGCATTATGTCACAGCCCTGTTGCATAAGACACCCGATGGTGAACCACAACGTGTTCTTCATCGAGAAATTGTTCTTCAGCTCTTCCGGCTCTTTGACGCAGGGGTGAGGGTTTACCTGTTGATGGGAATGCCATGTAATTAATCTCAGGGGACAGGTAGGTATGGGTGTGAATATCCTACCCATTCGTACGGCGAGAATCGGGCGACGAAGAACAGGAATAGTGTGACGCCTAAGAAACTGGTGATCAGATAGACCCAGACGTCCATCGCCAGGGGCGACATGAATGAGAAGAGCCTCGGCGGCTCCTTCTTGTGCTTCTTGTAGAGGATACCGATCCCCAGACTCATGAAAGGCATCGTGAAGTCCACGGCCGCCTCCCTCTCGTAGGTGATGGTCAGGTCCGCGCACGCTATGTCTGCTTTCTAATGGTGTGGTTATCAATGAACTTAATGTATTTTATTTATGATTAATGTGTGTAGGTAACGGTGCCTAAGCATCGGTATGTCTGTGTGTTGTATTGAATGCGATATAATAAATGGGATTCTCGAGGAAATGTATGCATTTTACTAATGCTTTTATCCCATACTCTGACTATAAGTATCACTTTGAGCCCCAAAACCAAAAACATAATACAAACATAATTTCGGGTTTCGTTTGGCATCACAATACGCTCAATACTTTTGTATAGCATTTTAGTGGGAAATTCAGTGTGACCCTGATATAAATTTATATAGACAACTGACCAATTATTATAGGAATTATTGCTAACTTTTTTTTGCAGGACTATTATTACTGTATTATAATTTATTCCCAGCTGGAAACCCCTTTATTACACGTTTGACTCCCTATCCCCTCAATTATTATTCATTGGATACGATTGAAAACGATGTTAAACTCAATTAGGAAGCAAAGTATGAGTTGATTGTGAATATAAATTTACAACAAGTGCCCAAAACACATGTATTACCCCTTCGATGAGCTCCTTAATCATGCCATTCCACTCTCCTCGCTCATTTTTCCTGCCATACGAGCCGTCTTCTACCAGTTTGATGGTGTACTTGAATCCGAGTACTTCTGCGATCTCGTGGATCAGGTCCACGACATAGCCCTTGTATTGGACGTCAGAGTTTTCGTCGGTTCTCTCTTTCTCCTCTTTCTCCATACAATAGGGGTTTCCCTTTTGGACATCAAATATGAATAATGTGTTTGCAATAAATCTCTCTCGCTCTCGCTCTCGCTCTCGCTCTCTCTCTCTCTCTCACACACACACACACTTACTCACCCACTCACTCATTCACTCTCTATCTATACATAAATTGAAAATCATTTTTCAGAAAAAACTAAGAAATGTATCATAACTTATAAATGATAACAGACTCTCTCTCTCTCTCTCTCTCTCTCTCTCTTTCATATTCAAAAAATATTTAATTTACTCCTATTGTCACGACTGTGAGCGTCTTATTCTTGAGGTTCTCGCGGTACCCCTCAGTCATAGCTTTGGTGTAATTTGTCATAAACACCACGTTATCCGTTGGCGTCCAATCGCCCACCTATTCATATATACCAATCGATTGCAAAAAATACACACAAAAAAACATATTTCAATGTAATCATCGGAAAAACCAAAGGTTGACGACTGGAGTGATGGAACTCCTTCTTACGTGTTTGAGTCCCTCGCGTGTCAGCTCGAGTAGCCGGAGCCGGAAGTCGGTTCTCGAGCCACTCGAGTCAAACCGTATGTGTGATGTAATCCCATCGATATTTATCTATAATTAAAGTTTTTGTTTGTTTTAAAAAAGTTTTGTTACTTTTTTTTCTATGAAATAAGATTTTTTCAATGTATCTATAATTGAATTGCGATCTCAAATCACA